TTAAGTGCAATGATGGGAAGACCACTTGTTGATGCTTGAACTTCCGAATTGCTGAAGCATTCGTACCATGAAGGTGCCAAGAAAGCATCGACACGAGTTCGTAGAAAGATACCCAGTTCGCGCTGGTTCATTGGTGGGTAGAGTGTGAAATTTCGCTCTTCAAATAATGTTTTGTCAAAATTGTCTGGAACCCTCCCTACAATAACCAATTCATATTCAATGGGGTCCAAGAATGGAACAATCTTCTCAATCAAATCAAAGTTTTTGCGTTCTGCAGTTGACCAAACAGAAGTTCCAACGCGAATCCTCCCATTCGAGGGAACGTGTCTCGCCCGGGTGGGCGGAAAGAAAGTAAACGGATCTGCAGCATTCCCAATTATCACTTTTCGAACTCGACTTGGTACCTTTTTGTAGTATGAAACGTGCTTTTCTGTTGCCCGACGACTCCAATCACTTTGGAAAATGAGAATATCACAGTACTTTATCACTGTGTTTAAAAGTGCTTCGTCTTGTTGAACTTTCTGCCGATGCAATGCAAAGGGGCCATCAGAACGCATAATGACTCGTGTATTCTTCCCTTTCGCACCAGCCTTCAAATACTTGGGCAACAGCTTTGCTGGGTACTGATTCTGATTTAGTATGTGCAGATGAAAATCTTTTGGGGACATTCTTTTCCTATTGACTTGCTTTTCCCCATTCTCATTGCTGATAACAAAAACTCGGTGGCCCCTCCGTCTGAATTCCTCGTTGAGCAAGTTCATAAAGATAGCGCTCCCCCCTGTGGCACTGCCATCTGATGGTGATCCCCACATTGCAATATTGTAAATCTCCCGCACTTTGTATAAATTGGATACCGTGTGTGCACTGCTGTCATAAGGAATTCCACCGCGACAGCAGAAGACGTCAGCTCTCCGTCTCGGAAGGTAGTCGAGGCTATGTCATTCCTCTATCTGAGTCCTCCCCGCCATGACATAAAAGCTCATTGAGCTGACACTGGTTCCAACAAAAAACTCGCTGTGAAATAATACTAGTTGCTCGAAGAAAGCCAAGATTTCTCTGTGCCCCTTGGTGACATTCATGATCTCAGGCGCCCAATCGGTCTTGGAAACAATGGTGTAATTCACATCGGCAAATGCTTGTCTGTGCGAATCAATGCTCCCAGAAAGTGCAATGTACAACGGCATGTCTTTCGGTACTTGGCGGCTGTTGTCAACGAATTTGATGATTGAAGCTGGGCTCCTTTTCAATTCCTTTTTCATATCAGCTTCAATCCGGAAATGAAGAGCATTGTACGGACCTCTTGTCTTGATTCTATTCTCAAAGCATTCTTCTAGTAATCGTCCTGGCTTCATTAATGCATGTGCAACAAGGCTTTGTAGCTCCTGAAACCAATCGTAGGCAATTCGGGAAACCCGCTGTTCCATTGGAAACGGGGATTTTCGCGGCGAATTGACACGCAAAAGTCCTGGAAGGTGACTGCTTCCAGCACGTGCATACTTGGTGGTGACTGTCTGCATCCTTTTGTATTCCATCATTCGTTTGCTCACTATTTCTTCTAGTTTATCAGTGGCGTTAGGATTTGTTCGGGCATCCAAGAGATCGCCAGTGAATACAATGTTCTTGTAATCGCTCGCTTTCCTCACAGTTGTATTCTCCAATCCTGCACCACAAATATCTCTGACTTCGGCTGGAGTCATGACACAAACTGAATGATCCTTAGAATTCATCATCGTCGATCGGAAAAAGGTAATATTTACCAAATCTTCGAATGGAAGCAAGAAACTTCCTTGTTTTGGATTGGCGACGTTTGAGAAACTTTGCAGTCGTTTCACCTTGGAATATTTGATGACTGAATTATAATTGGACTCAAAGTGTGGAAGAATCATTGTAGCGTTCTTCAGTTGTGCAGCTAGCCCGAGGAAAACGACTAATTGGTTCACTTGATTGTTCAGACCTTTGAACCTTGGGGATGGCCATA